GGGGGGAGCAGGCCTGCCCTCTGTTTCCCTGTAGCAGGGCTGCCAGGAGCCTGATGAGGACCGGTGGCCTGAGGGGTCATGTCTGCTCACTGGCCAGAGGCTTAGCTGATGGCTACGTCAGGGGCAGCCGGTCAAAGCCCCTGGGAAGACAGATGGTCCACTTAGCCCTCAGCGTTGGCACAGCCACTCCCCTCTCCCCCAGACCCCGGCAGAGCCTTGTGGATGGAGGAGGCTGCAGCAAGATAAGCCTGCCTAATTGCCAGCTTGCATTTTTATCCAGAACAGAGGGATGGCATCATTTCAAACATGGGGCGACGATACCAAATGTCTGTATCCTGGTTCGTGCTATTCCCGCCCCTCCTTGAACAGGGGTTTCTGCTCATCCTTCAAAATTCCCTCTGAAAGTCGTCTCCTCCTAGCAACTGTCTCAGAGCACATCCATGTCCCTTTCCTGCTAACTCAGCACCGCAGAGGAAAGGCAAGTGAACCATCTATAGCACGGCGCTGTGATGCACATTCAGACCCCTGGCTCCGGTCCAGGCTGTGACATCCTGAGGACAGGAGCCATCTTTTCATCTCCATCCCCAGGGCCCCGCGGAGGGGCTGGCATCCATGGGTGCTCAACACACACTGATGCACCAGGAAGAGAAAGCCAGTGCCCCCTTCTATGAAGGTAGCACAGCTGATGGACAATCCTCATCAGTGATGCGGCCTTAGGCTCTGCCCTGGAACCTCTGGGCTGGGACCCTGGCTGCATCCGTTACTGAGTGACCATAAGCAGGTTAATCATTGCTCTGGGCCCCAATTTCTTCACCTTCAAAACAGGCACAATAATGCTGAGCAATGTTACCCTGGGCCAGTGGTCGGCAAACTCATTAGTCAACAGAGCCAAATATCAACAGTACAACGATTGAAATTTCTTTTGAGAGCTAAATTTTTTAAACTTAAACTATATAGGTAGGTACATTGTCATTAACTTAATTAGGGCACTCCTAAGGCTTAGGAAGAGCCACACTCAAGGGGCCAAAGAGCCACATGTGGCTCGCGAGCCACAGTTTGCCGACCACAGTCCTGGGCAATTGTAGGGGTTAAGTGATATAACATATATACATATGTATATATACATCCTATATAATAAAAGGCTAATATGCAAATTGTCCCCTCAGGATTTCTACTGACCGGGAGTTCAACCACCCACTATGACATGTGCTGACCACCAGGGGGCGGAACGAAGTAAGGCCACGGCTGGCAGCAGGGGGGGAAGGAAGGGACCCAGCCAGGCCTAGGGACCTACCTGTGCACGAATTTTGTGCACCGGGTGTCTAGTGTGTGTGTATATATATATATATATATATATAAAGCACTTAGTGGAGTGCTGGTGCATGGTAAGATTTCACTGCATGGTAAGATTTCAATGTGCTGACCATTGGTATGGTCTGAATGTTTGTGTTCCCCACCCCCACCCCCAAATTCATATGTTGGGTGCTAACCCCTAAGGTGATGGTATCAGGAGGTGGGCCTTAGGGAGGTGATTATGTCACAGGGCAGAGTCCCACTGAAAGGGATTAGTGCACCTATTGAAGAGGCTCCAGAGACGCCCTTCACTCCTCCCAGCACGGGAAGGCACAGAGAGAAGTCAGTACCCAGGGAGCAGGCCTCCCACCCCCGCCTGAACCCGACCACGCTGGTGCCATGACCTGGGGCTCCCAGCCTCCAGACCTGCGGGAGACAAGGCTCTGCCGTTGACACCCCACTGAGACTGTGGTATTTTGTTACAGCAGCCCCAACGAACTCAGACCACCATTGTCAACATCAACTTATGAAACTGGTATTTTCTCAATGCTTTTGCATCATTTTTCTTTTTCTTTAAATTTTTTATTGATTAATGCATCATTTTTCAAATAAAGTGTTTCAATTAGTTCCTCTATCCATAGATAAAAAAAACAAAAACAGAGCTGAATGATGAAACATCCAACGCAGGGCTATCAGAACAGACACAGATAAGGCATAAGAGATGGGCGCAAGTCCTCTCCTCAGCTATCCATGTGGTGGGGACCAATGAAGAGAGATCATGGTAACTACACAACCGTGAGAACATGCATGTGACAATGCTGGGCTGCCCCATGCAACTGCCAAGTTGGGGAATGGCACACATGAAGAGGCTAACACAGACAGTGAAGGGCACCCCTGGAGTTGGGTGGGAACACCTTATGCATGCAATCGGGGGGCTCTGCAGGAAGGAGCACGGAGCGATGGGACCCCTCCTCGCTGGTAGAGAAGACAGGAAGTTCCCAGAGACATGCATTGGCATGGGCCTCTGGGTGGGAAGAGGTGGAGGATGGAGGCAGGCATCCTGCAGGATAGACGAGAATAAGGAAAGGGCAGGCGGGAGGGATGGACACAGCATGTCTGCGGAACAGCGAGT